GGAATGATGCTGAAATCGGACGATAGCTGAAATTTGGGGTCTTAATTTGAAAATATAAACCCTACTAAACCTACCTACACTATTTGAACATTTTTCATTATTATTGTTTTGTAGTTCCGATAATGGTTCTGGATTTGGTGGTGTTGTACATGACACCTGATCTCGTGGTAATGTGAAAGATGGTGATGTCAATTCATCGGACGAAATACCATTAATATTATTAGTTTCATAATTGTCATAGTAAGGTTCTACTGAGTCTCTGTAAGTTGCACCTTTATTAAATTGTGTTTTTTGATTTTTTCCTGGCCTGTTAAACGTAGAATTTCGACCATTTTCTGAACTATTGGAATCGCTTTGAATATTCTCCGAAGCATCAACAACGGAACTTTGACAATTATCCAAGCTGTCTAAGCTATCCAAACTCGAATCATGATCTGAAGACAATTCGCTTAAGCTAGAAGTTGTCTCATTATCACTAAAAAAAACGCCACTTGATATACGACTTATTCCGTTAACTATTACTGATGTTTCCATTGTATTTATGTTTTCATGCTCTTCAACCTCAACATTATTGTTCTCAGCAATATCAGATGAGTAACTCATATACTCTCGCTCTCTTTGCGAAAATAACCCGCGCATCATCGCACTCCGTAAATTGCTTTCTGCTCGTGGTAGGTCAGGGTAGACCATACCGGTGGGTCTCTGAATATCTGCCATTACCTTTATATAAATATTTTAATATCATAAGCCTAACTATATTTGTCCGATTCAAAAAAAAAATAATTTCGCACCCCTCTTTAGTTTCCAATGTTTGTGAAGTCGTTACTACGACAATAAACATGTTTTGAAAATAAGCTATCGCTATGGCTGTTTAAACTGTCCATGTCAGATGATATATATCATAAATTTATTTTATATGATAGATACCGATACGATGTGATACGGATTAACAACTCCATCACAATTCTAATAAGAACAGTTTTTATAGTTTTTAGAAGTTCGTGTTACAATGTTCAATATCTGCTTTATATAACTGCGGGAACCCTGTACTTTTATGTGGGAACTCCGATCTCGCGCCGTTAATATTTCCTTATTGATACATATTGTAATCTTTATTGAAATGTCATGATCATAGTCGATGCTTATTTATCACAGGTATTGATTTACATCCCTGTCTGTAAGCAAAACAAATGTACAACATTAAAAATCATTAACTGTTACACTAAAACAGATATCTTAACCAAGGCATAGGATCTATAACTGCGCAACCAAAAATTTGCATTTACTAATTTCTTCCCACACTTTCTATTGGCTGGAATTATTTGCGATTATTTATATAAGTGCTCGAGAGTAAAAATGTTTGACCCACAAATTCTTGTTCGATTTTTGACCAAACAAATTTGATTCTGATTGGCTAAAATTAAAGGCTATAAAAAATGAGTCAAAAATTTTGGATTAATATATATATTGTCGGGATGATGCTGAAATCGGATGATGCTAAAATTTTGACTTATTTTATTATGAAAATTTGAAATTTGTTTGGGGTGTTTTGTTTAGCTTTTTTTTTAATAGTTCGATTAGAATTTAGGGTTAGTGTTTATAATAAAAGAGTATAGGTAGGTTTAGTAGGGTTTATATTTTCAAATTAAGACCCCAAATTTCAGCTATCGTCCGATTTCAGCATCATTCC